TTTTTCAGGTCAACATTCTCACTGATTATTAGTGTAATTTCGATTTGATCGTGGAAATCGCCAAGTTCTTCGCTTGAACTGTAGCCAGCTGTCGGCTGTTGAGATCGACAGCTGGCAAAGGGATCTCGATTCGAAGAAGGTCGTTGGCCTCGTTCTCGCAGATGTGAGGAAGGCGTTTGACAGCGTTAACCATCAGCTGCTACTGAACGGACTTTTTAATTGTGGAGTTGGTGATGCGGCTTTGGCATGGTTCAAAGATTACCTGAGTGACAGGACACAGCAGCTCATAGCGCCGGACAATCTGATTCGTGCATCGTGCAGCCAAGGAGTGCCGCAGGGGTATGTGTAGGGCCCAGTGGTATTCCGCATTTACGTAAGAGGCCTTCCTGGATGTGTGAGTGCCTCATCTGTACTTTAGTTCGCTGACGACGTTAACATGTATGCAGCTGGTGACACTACTGAAGAAGTCGTGGACAAATTGAACGGCGATCTTATTAAGTTATCGGATTATCTGAAAGGAAAGCGAATGAAATTAAATCCGGCTAAAACGAAGTTCATACTGCTCCAAAGCAAGACCACCGATGTCCCGATGTCTGCCTATGTCACCATTGATGGTGTCCATGTTCCCTGCACGCAGTCTGCTCGCTACTTGGGTATTGTACTTGACGAAAACTTGACTTTTGGCCCACAAATAGACAACCTTGTAGGCTCTGTCAACAGGAAACTTGGTGCATACCGCTTATCCCGCCATCTTCTGCCATACCATGCTCGGCGTACCTTCTATTTAAGTGTCATTCAGTCAACCTTGGAGTATGCAAGCAGCGCTTATATCCATTCCCTAAGTTCTATGAACTATGATAAGTATGTCCGTTTGTTCAATAGATCCCTCAGAATAGTATTTGGTTTTGATAAGTTTACCAGTGCTTCTCACATTCTTAGCCTTTACAGCCTTTATCATATTTCGGTGCGTGTCAATTTGAAATTGTTCATTCTTTTGTTCCGGTGCATCCATAGCGGAACATGCAGCTCTTTGGTTCAAGAAATCTTTACCAGCCGCTGCTGTAGCTCTCACACCACTGCCACTACGAGATCCCAGGTGTCTTTTTCTTTGGCATTACCCCCAGCACAGAGTACGGCTGGCTTTTCTCGGATTGGCTATCTCGCTGCTGACCGGTGGAATATGCTGCCTTCCACTGTTCGTACTTGTACCGATTACCGCTCATTTATTCGCTCATGCATAACCTTCCTAGGGGCTCCCGTAAGAAGACCATAGGTCTGTGGGAAACACCCTAGTAAAATAAAAGTTTATGATAATGATAATAATAATAACTCTTCATGTTCCGAACTGCTATTCTATGGAACTGTTTACCCCCCAGTCTAACACTGATCGGAAACCTCGCTCTATAAGTTCAAAGCTGCCCTCAGGAAATTTACAGCTGACCATGCTTATGCAATCAACGGAATTCCGCCACCGTGCAGTTGATTTTCCCCATTTCTCTCCTCATCAATCCCTACTTGTCTTTGTACATACATCTACATCTACTGTTCTTTCAATCAAATGAACCCCATGATAGGCACATTGCCTTTGGGTCATTTCATAATAATAATAATACTAAACTGTGAGCTTGACGACCTCCACGGCTGCGCTAGTAATCGTTGTCTCTGCCGCTCAGAACTCTCCAGAATGCCATGGAAAGAGCCATACGGACACAACCAAACGCTCCTCATCTTGGCAGCGGGGTACTCGTGCCAGTACGTTTCCACAGCCTGGAGAATTTCCTTTCTGGTCTCCTTTTCCACGAGTGACACGTCTGTCTTCAGGCTGTGGAAGAACGCCAAGTCGTCGACGTTGGGATCGGGCCTTTGCGCAGGCTGAACAACAACCTGAATGTCGAACCCTTTTGCTTTCCGCTGCGCCGCAAACACACGTGCATTGATTTATTTTGGCTGTGTGCGGACGCGCATCGTGCTGGTACAGCAGTGGCTGGCCTGCTTCTGCATGAGCCACGCGGTCTTTCGAACTGTTACTCATTTTCGCACTTCGGTGTCATGCGCCTGGGTTGTGTTCTGGAACTCCACGCTTTTTGGAGGTGGAAAAGACATGTACAACGCATGATACAGCGCATGATGCACATGGCATGCACTCTGCGATCCGATTTGGGGTACTTCAAGTAGATCGAACGATGGCACGTGGATGGGCGCCTTCTGCACCATTTTTCCCTCCTTTCGAAGACACCGAGTTTTTTTCGCTTTTCCGGGACAATTCGATTGAAATCCGTACTGCGGACAAAACATCGTTTTTCCGTAAAAATACGGACAAATACGGGCAGTTGGTAACACTGCAAGAGTTGCCTGTGATGGTGCAGGACTCAATGGGCTTGGAGGTCTTGAAAGGCTGGAGTACACGGGTAGCATCCTCTGTGTCAGAGCACTCTGTTTCCTTGTCCACTGAATGTGTATTGTCTGTGTGCCAGGCTGTGTCAGCACCATCATGGCCAGCATAGGGCCCGGTGTGTGTCCCCACGTGGTTTTCCTGCTGCTATCAAGATTAATTTGCCATAATCGTTAAATGTGATCCTTTAGGAGCTATTTAGCTTTTTTACTTCGAAGTAGTGTAGCATATGTACAATAGTGTACATAGGGTGTTGCACATTTTGGGTACAAGACAGAAAACAACAGGGTTCAACATCTGTAGCACAGTGGCTGGGTGCTATAATATTATTATGTTGCTTGAGGTGTTTAATGTTGCAGGTTCGAATTGCACTTCTTCTCTTTCCTTGTTGTATTTTCTGCAGGTTTTCTTTTTGAAATGGAGAGAACATCTTTAAAGCGGGTTTCACAGAAGCTGTTTTGCGATGCGACACGCGATGCGATAGGCGCGAAACCGGGAAAACCCCAAATCACAGCCATGTCACACTCCACGCAACTGGGCCATCGCAGAAGTTGAGCTTGGCTCAACTTTTGCGATGCGATGCGATCAGCGATGTGGTGTACGATTTTGACCTTTTCCACAGCAAAGTTGTACAACGGTTCAAGAGTTAGTTGCCTATAAATTTGTACAAGTTGTATCAAACCGCGCGGATATCATGGTGACGTATCCAAATCAGCAAGGTGTTGTCGCATCACTGACTTCTTCTGTGAATGGTATTTCGCGAGTTCGCATCGCACACGTACGTCGCAGATCGCTTCGCATCGCGTGTCGCATCGCAAAAAAGCTTCTGTGAATCCCGCTTAAGTCTTTCCAAAGTCGAAAGATTACAATGCCTAAAGTGAATATAAACAGTCAATATAGAACAGTTGATATTGTGGCTATGCGGGTAATATAGAACCAGTCAAGGATCACAAGAATTAGTGGAGGGAGCTATAGAAGAGTTATAAATGTACTTATACCCCACTCCATATACACTTACAGTCTTAGGCATGCTCTCCCTTAGTGGTGTATATATCTCCATATACACCGCTAAGGGGAATTAGCAGTAGTTGTCAGCGAGGAACAAGCCATTAGGAGGTCACACACAGTGAATATGGAGAGGTATAAATTATTATAACAAAGGAACCTCGCGTATATCGAGATTTATCGCCTTCTTAGTATTTGACCCCACTAATTTCCCTGATACCTAAGCGGTCAAATATATCGCGTATTTGACTGCTTAGTCAAATACACAATATATTTGACTACTAATATTTGACTCCTTAGAATTTTATAATAGCTATAAAGAGAACAAATTCTGCTGTCATCGCCACACTACAACAAAGTCATGAAGGTTTACCAAAATCGATTTTCGTGTCACAATCATCAGTCGAAAGCTGTGACTGAAGAATAACCATGCCAAATCAATAATTTATATACATTCAATAATGTGTTATGGGAACAAAACCAAGTGCTAAAAATAGAATGAGGGAAGGTGAGACAATAGAAGTAAAGTGAGAGCTAAGTGCAATAGGGGTGAGGAACTAATTGCAACGCTAGAACTATGTAGTGAGACAAACAATCATGCTGTGCACCTACGAAAACAATCTTAACGCAACTACATGTTTCTTCTGCTTACAAAGATCAGGCTTATGCAAACGAATACAAACAGCCTCAAGTACTTTCAACTGACTAGCGTACCGTGCACGACAAAGAACAGAAAAACTGAAAATCATCATACACCTGCAGACACTTAAGGTGAGACAACAGATGAAGAAAAACGGCAGACTTCTTACGATCACAATCACCATCCGATTCCTCGTCTCCACCAACCGCAACCTCGTCCCCCGTCTCATCTCCCAGTCTCCGCGTCGATTATTTATTCCTTAGAATTTCTTGGACTTAGAAATTTTCTCTCCAACTTAGAAAAAGAAATTTTTGAAGAAATCAGAAATACACAAGATGGGATTTGAACCCACAACCATGTGAATCTCAGTCACTCTTCCTTACCACCCAGCACCTGTGCTACCGATGCTGAACCTAGTTTAAACAATGACCTTGATCCTGCAATGCTGTACAATGCGGTATATGCTATAATAATACTAAAATTACAAGTATATTTGTCGTATATGAAGAGAAAAAATTGCGTGGAGAACACGATAAATAGATTATAGACCTCATAGTTGGTCTATACAGGATATATAGACCTCGTAAAAGACCTCGGGGGACCTCGGTCTTTTACTCGGTCTATATATCCTGTATAGACCTCCTAACCGGTCTATAATCTATACATATACACCATTAATAAAAACCTCGGCTTCGCCTCGGTTTTCATACTGGTGTTTATCACTCCCTTAGTATTGACTCGCATACATTTTTGCCATACCTAAGCAGTCAAATATTCCTGCATATTTCACTCCTTAGGGCTATATTGACTGCTTATATTGGACTGCTTAGAAGTTGCGCACTCGGTTCCTTGCTATAATATATACATATACAGATTGTACTCTAGTCATAGCTGACATAATATATGTACTTACTTGTGTTTCTCTCTTCTTTTCTGCCCATGCCCCTCTTCTCAACCTGGAAGATGTTGGCGCAAATGTTACAAGTGATTCACCCGGGATGCCCAGGAGCGGCCCATTCCTCCTTCCCACCATTTGTATCACCATGGTTACATTTACCTTGGCAATTATGACACTGATCATGTGATTCATGGCAGTGCTGATAGTTGTTTTGGCTTCTCTGCTTTGATTTGAAATTCCTAGCATGATGTTCACGAACTTTTCGTTTCCATTTATTATCCACCCAGTATATTCAATCTGTGATCTGCAGAGGGTTAATATGCAAAAAAAATACACTTGTAAGCATGAAGGCCCAACGCCAGCTTTTGATGTAATCCCGGTCTCCCTCTCATATGTTTGTGTAGGAAGATTTTGTGATTCAACCATGTAAGAAATTAGTTGAATAGCTGGTTTCCATCAAGTGTAATCCTAGTTCTATGTGTATGGTTGTGCTTGCATGTGGATATGAGTATGCATCAGGGTGAGTGAGTGAAAATGTGTCTGTTTGTGTTTCTTTATCAGTGTGCATGGGTATATGTGGGTGTGGGTGGTTTTGCTCGCCTGTCTACGTCTCTCTATGTGTCATATACGTCCGGCCCGGAGCTAAGCCCCGGAACAGTGGTAGACATGAACTAACTCATTGAACTTTTACATCCGGCTATGCGGTAGTGGTCACCTGAGGAGAACCCAGCAATGGAATTACCGTTACGCATGCACACATGCCAAGGCTCACTCTCAGACGCACCCTGGCATATACACACACATGCACAACCACCAGTGCTCAGGTTTACTTGCATGTTCCAAGGAGATAGCGTACTACTCAAACTCCGACCAAAACACGAGAATGATGAGGGGATGCATGAGGGACAAAAGCCAAAGCTTCCTCCTCGAGGGCATGAGGCAACAAGAGTTTACTGTTATCACGTTGCTCCATAACTTATAACTTTCCAAGTTAAAAGGCTGCTAGTTTGCGCATTCACAACGTGATGCAGCTAAACATCGGTTCGGTGCATGTCAGTATCACATCAGTCGTTTTTGTTCGTATTGATGCTAACTCTGACTCGAGATTATCCGGCCTTTTATCGTTAGCCCAGAAAGTGGTGGACATCACACAACTGCATTGTGTGAAAAAAGGAGGTTTGTCAACTGACAACCGCTCTATTTAGTTGCTTTTCCCTTTTTAGATGAAAATTATTTTAGATGTTGCAAGATTATCGACGTTTCGCGGCAGTCACCCATCGTCAGAACAATATACAAGGAGCGAGCCTGGCCTTTTAAAACGAAAGCAAGCGAGAGCATTTGTATAAAAAACGCACAATAGCCGTAAAATGCACTGAAAAAGTGGGTATGCAACAGCTCAGCAGATAAAGTGCAGGAAATGTGTGTACGAAGGTGTATACCACAATCATTGTGTGTACAATCCTGTATAAACACAGCAAGATTTAGCAGTTTCACTGTGAGGGTGCTAGCGCCTTCAATGGCCATCCGAAGGAGATATTGATCTCCGGACAACACTCTCGAATCTCTATGGACTCCCTAACTTCCCTTCTGTTCATTACTGGCTCCACGGCCAGTACTTGGGCCTCAATGAAAATCACATCTGGGGCATCACACATGCAAACCAGAGGAGCATGAGAGGCAGGGGCTGAGCGGTCTTCCTCGCCTGCGCTTTATCTGCTGAGCTGTTGCATACCCACTTTTTCAGCGCTTTTCTCCTTGTCGGTTGCACATGCAAATTCAGACACTCAATTGCATACTGCTGTTGTGTGTTTTTTGTTGTGGTTCGCTCCTTGTACATTGTTCTGGCGATGGGTGACTGGCCCGAAAAATCAATAATTTTCAAACATCATTCATAAAGGAATTGTCGTCTATTAAAGAGCGAATACCAACTAAATAGAGCGGTTGTCAGTTGCCCAACCCCCTTTTTATTTATTTTTATTCGTTAGTGTTGGACAAACCGCTTACTGTAAAACAGATACTTTTAGGTGCATTAAAATTAATGTAATAATTAAACTGAAAACAAGGGAAGAAACACATGAGAACGAGTTATGCAGCAACTATCCAGGACCCCCCCCCCCCAGTAATAATTAAAATAATGTTATGTAGAATAAGATGACCAGTGTTCCCTTCACACACAGTGCACATTATAGTGCCGTTAGGTGTAAGTTTAAGATAGCTGCCTGGTTTCTCTACCGGAATCACCGAAAATTACATGTTTTCCAGTAACTTGTAAACATATGGTCCCCGTTTTTCAACCTAAAGAGAGCATGTCTGAGAAAACAAGAATATTTGTGCAAGTTGATATCTCCAATTTCGCCCAAAGTTTAGGTAAGATTCCTTTGGGGTGTAGATCGACTGTGCAAAGCCCACGGAAAATATTCTGAAGGGAACCTTGATATTGGCAAACACCTCAAAAATGGCCGAAAAATCACATGATTCATGGGACTACAAACGAGCGACGCCACAACGTACAAGAATAAGCTACGAACAAATCTCCATCAAGCCAACATTGCCTGACCTTAGAAGATTTCTTCGGGCAGCACCGCTTAGCCACGCCAGCATCCCAGAAGACGAGGGCCATCATCCCTTGATGCAACAAATGGTCGTTTTGAAAATAGCCATATTACACATTGCGCGAAATCGCGCATCTATGAGCGACATCCACATAAACTGCTGGGACCATGGTTGTGTACTCGAATCTCATTCTGAGCACCCTTTTTTCTTCCTTTTTTCAGCCGTTTTTTTGCAAAAAGTCCTCGAGCTCGATTTTTTTGATCGATCGTTCTTCAAGGAAAGACGAGTGGACAATCGATCAACAGGGCCAAGGACGAATGCGTCTGGTTGGAGTTCTTGCGTGGCACAGGATGACCAGACACACATATAGATACATTGCGACGATCTAATCTGCACAGTGTTTCCTAATACCGCACGCACGACGGTAAGTACAATTCATGTGATTTCAAATTGTTTGTGATCTGCAACGTCGCGAGCAGGACGGAAATACAGCAACAGCACGACAACCGTTATACCAGGCAGTAACCAACAGTCACCTCCGTCACATTCTCCAGATCAGAAGGCAAGTGAGGCAGTGAACATGAAGAAATAAAGTATGAAAGAATGAAAAGTGAATAATTCAAAAATCTCAGAAACGTTGAACGTAAAAAACACTGAGAACAAGAAAAGTGACTTACTTCGATGGCAAAAGACAAAGCGAATGTTCCTCGTATGGACCTGGCTCTTGCGGAATCAGCCACACTGTGGAACCATGTGTTTGATTCCACAAGGGATGGCTACCTGCTCCTCACCAACCAGCCTCCACGACGGTGGTAAAGTCGCCAAAAATACGAAAGTTGAACATTTTGTGCATGCATGCAATAGAAAATTTGTGCTGAGTATGTCGAGTGGCCATTCGCACAGGACAAAGCCGTTGCGCAAGCTGTGACCCTGAAATTTCGTCCATTGGTAGCGAGGGTAACCCTGAGCTGGAAAGTGTAAGGGATGGCATGCTACACTCCCCCGCATACGCTTGACAGCACGATTTGAGGCGTGGAGTAGTAATATACCAGTATCTTACTACCCCCTGATACCTGATGCATGGACGTCGTCATCTTCATCCCGCAGATCGAAAATGTACAGGTGTCGCGTGATTTCGCGCAATGAGCGCTGATAAAACAGTCAGCTACTTGTACGTTCTCAATAAGCAAACACTATACATGTATATCACCAGCAGATAGTAGAACACCTCTTCTAGCACTGAGGACATGTCCCCGGCGTCATCCCTTTCTGGGGGTTTTCTTGAAATAACCAATTTTGAATTTTTCTACTCGACCATTCTGAAATACGTCCAACTCATACCTGCGCAGGAAAGCTCGCCCCTCCGCGACGTCTAGTCAGCAATTTCTACTCCAACACCACTCCCAACGCTGCAGAACAAAGCGTATTGTTGACTCTGACAAGGAAAATCAGCGGTGATCACTTGTCACTCCAAACGACAAGCTTCTCCTTGCGCCACCAACATTTTTCGGTGCAACAGTTGATGCAAAAGTGACCGAATTTTTGCGCTTAGTTTTTGGATTTGACTGCAAGAAATGCTGAACTCACGTGCCTCGTGACTTAGAATAATGCTGTCTGGTGCAAGACACAATGCACACGATCACGATCGTTCCTGAGGCGCTATTCGGAACGGACCATGATGGAGGAGGTAAGACGCATTGTATGTCGGACACTCCTGTATGCTTTGCTCAGAACCTGCAGAAACTATTGTTCTAGCACTAGCCCTATTGCAATGGAAAGAATTCATTGAGATATTCCCTCTTGCAGTGAGAACTGGTATGCATTTTTTCACACCAACCTCGCTCATCCCATACATGGTTCAACAGGAACCGTGGCTAGTTTGCATGCTGATCCTCGACGTAGATCTGCAACAGCAAGGAATGACCGTGGAGCATGCCATCAAGGTCGCTTGGAGTTGACCTGCGCGCGGCCTAGACTGGTTGCATGGGGTGTGGCAAATTGGCAATGGCCCAGACAGATCCTGCCGGCAATTCTTTCGGAAAAATATCGAAGAATTGAAAGAGCGGAAATTGCCGGCAAAATCGGAGCTAAATATCGAGATGTTGGGTAAAATCGATGCCTGATACCTAGCTTTCCTTGTTTCTTACCCGTCGTTCTACAACTAACTGGCTAACAGCTCTAGCACATCTTGGATGCGCACTCCAACAGCCTTCCAACTTGGAAGGTTCTACGTTATAGAAATAACATGAGGAGGGGAAGGTGAGCGCAACTAAGATAAGCACGACCTGAAAGTCTCAGCTGTGAAGGACGTTAGGGGATGTTTATGCATGTCGATGACGATACTGGCAGGACCATTGGACAATACGGTCAAACCACGATTCCAGAACGCAAAGCAACATTCCACACAACCTGTGTGGCTCAAAAGATGCGAAGATCAATAAATGGGGAAGCTATGCGAACAAGAATCATGAAAAACCGAGCGCCTCAGTAAAACAGCACTGTTCTTCGACTATGACAATTTGGATGGACAATAAGCTGCGGTAATAAGCAGCAGTCTCACACGACGATCGTTTCGCCGTATAGATAAAGACGGCTCATCAGGTGTCCAGGAATGGACTCAGATGGAGAGTCATGG